CCGCCACATGCTGGGAAAGGGCTGAGCGTGGCCTTGTGCTCGCACCACGCTGCTCCCCACAGCCCTGCGTGTCCTGCTTGTGCCCTTCACCGAGCCTTCCCTCCGGAGGCTGCCGATGCGTGCTGTGGGGCTCTGCCCCCATCCCGGGGTATGGACGGGGCCGGGTGGGCGCTCCCGAGGTGAGGACGCAGAGCAGCTGGGTCTGACAGCGTGATGCGTGCTGGCCTGCACGCGTTTCGGGATGGCACACTGCAGAAATGAAGCTTCCCCATCCTCTCCGCAGCCTGGCTCCCGCTCGCTGCAGAAATAAAAGCCTGTTCCCGGTGACCCAGGGGATGTCTCGGTGCGCGGCTCTGCGCTCGCTCCTCCAGTGCTCATTAAACGGGACCTGCAGGGATCACCCGCTCTCAGGTCATGGGAATGAAGTCTATCCAGCCCCATTTGGCTAATTTGTATTGTGCTTGTGTGGGCCATTACCCAGTGAAAGTCATTGATTTGCGATGCTAACTAGCTTCTAAACCCGGATCCCAGAGGTGATAAGCCAGCACGTTAGTTTTCTTTCTTCCTTAATATTTTAATGGCACTGGGAGGGGGAGCAGCAGAGCAGCCCGGATTTCTGATGAACACCGTGACATTTCTGTGTCACTGCAGGGCGCAGGCGCTGCCCTGGCTCTCCCTCCTCCAGCCAGAGGATGGTGCGTGACGGTGAGACCGGAGCGTTGGTTTTAGCTCGGGCTGGAGGTGGTGGTGCTCTGTTTGAAGCCAAAGGCACAATGCACCATCCCCTCTTGTAGCAAAGCGTGCATCTCATTATCAGCTGCAATTAACTAATGTGCTTATTCGTTTCAATAAAGCTCTTGTCTCGGCTGTAGCAAGAGGCTATTAATTTTGCTGGGTAGGATGGGTGTGGGGGCTGTTAGGAGTAAGAGCTCAGACGCAGGAGGTCTGGAGCAGGACCGGTGCTTCTCCTTACGGGCGGGTTGGGGTGATGCCGGGTTGAGCCGCGTGTGTATCTCCGCCAGCCCTGGGGCGATTGCCGCAGGCCGGGACAGCGCTGCCCACACCGGGCTCTCCTGGTGCCTCGGTCGCGGCACACGCCGGCAGCGCTGAGCGGGAGGTGGCCTGGGGGCTCCAGGGCACAGCCCTGCGTGACAGCGACTGTTTCTCCTCCTGCAGTGCACGTAGAGCCCGGCACGTGCGAAGTCATTGCAGCTCACAGGTGCTGCAATAAGAACAAGATCGAGGAGCGCTCCCAGACGGTGAAATGCTCCTGCTTCCCAGGGCAGGTGGTGGGGACGACGCGGGCGGCTCCCTCCTGCGTGGATGGGGAGTAGCATGCGGCCACAAGCCGCGTCCTGTGCAATCCCCGACTGCATCTACCCCATCGGTCCGGCTGGTGTGGGGTTCCTGTGCCCCCGGGGTTAACAGAGGAGATCTGCCCAGGGGCTCCTGCAGAGCCGAGGGGGAGAGGGAGCGTTTTGGGGACACTCTCCATTGGTGTGGCTGTGTCACCCCACTCCGTGCCGCCCCAGGCTGTGCGCCGTGGGTGGCTTATGGTGCTCCAGAGGCTCAAGCTCCTCCAGCACATCGCTGCACTGGGGCCCGGCGCCGCAGCATTGATCCCTGCATGTCTGCTCCCTGTGCTGCTGCAGCCGGAGGCAGGGAAGTGACTCCAGCCGTGCAGCACCATCACCTGCAAGGAGCACTAAGCACAGCTCCGGCCATGTATATTTTATTGAATGGCATCACGTGGCATCACTGAAGAGCCGTCAGGAGCAGCTGCAGCTTCTGCCAGCGTGGTGTCGATTTGCTTGAGAGCTGCTGTCCTGTGAGCGCGGTTGAGTGCACCAACAAGAAATCCAGGGTGAATTGTCAGGGAAGGCTTTCGTTGTCCCAAACAGCTTGTGCATGTCGTCTTTCCCAAAGATAGGGAGCCCGCTCTGGTTGCCCAGGTTGGAGGCATCAATCACAAGAGGCTAACGGGGTCGAGTAGTGGTAGCCGGTCCTGTTGCCTCCGTCGGAGGAGCCTGCAGTAGGTTTGTGAACAGCGCTGGTCTCTCTGCTCCTGTTGGGAGCGAGGACGGGGCTGTCGTGAGGCTTTTTACCTGGGGTGGGGAGAGAAAGCGGGGTGCTTCGGGCGTAGGGGGAGCAGTCGGGTGCGATGAGGCCGGGCAGGCGACGAGGGTCGGTCGCTTGGGTGGGCTGTGCTGGAGAGAGGGGCTGCCCCTCCCGCCCTCCCCTCCGGCACCTCCCGAAGGCGGGCAGAGCTGCCGCCCCGTCCCCCGCGCGCTGCTGGCGGGTCCTCGTGCCACCGTGGCCGCAGCCCGGGCGCTGACGCCCGCCTCTCCCGCAGCCTCCATCGTGCTGCAGAAGTGGTGGTGCCAGATGGAGCCCTGCCTCGACGGGGAGGAGTGCAAGGTGCTGCCCGACCTCTCGGGCTGGAGCTGCAGCAGCGGCAACAAAGTGAAGACAACCAAGGTATGTCCCCTGGCGGGGTGCGGGGGGGAAGCCTGGCTGGGCTGTCCCCGGCCCCGGGGCAAGCAAAGCCCAGGAAAGCGTCCCCAGAGAGTTCGCCGGGGAAGGGGAGAGCCTCGGCTGCTCCAGGGCACGTGCTGTTTGTTACGGATGCGCCGAAGCAGCGCAGAGGGTCCAGGCTGGGCTGTGGTCACCGCTGCTGGGGTAGCACAAGCCCCGAGTGGGTCCCGTGGCTTTGCTGGTCGATAATTCCCCCGGGGAGGCTCGGTGAGGAGGGCGTTGCGTGGCTCAGCCCGTGAGCAGACGTGCCGGGGACGTTTCCATACCAGCCCAGGGCCGCTGCGCCGTCCGGGCTGCTCCCCAGCATCCCCCCGCTGCGCCGGGGCCGTAGGTTGCTCGTCCCAGCCGAGTGGCACAGCCCTGAATCCATCACCGCTCCCCCGTCTGAGGCAATCATCTGTGACAGAGTGCTACATGATTAATATTTTCATGGCTTGCTGAATGCCCCAAAGAACAAGGTATAATTAAAATTTTATCAAACTCATTAGTAATTACATATATGCCATGGTTAATCAGTTGCATAATTTTGTAATCATTGTTCATACTGTTGAGTGTAATTATTCCTTATGCTTTGGTTTTTCTCACCCCACATCCCCTGCCATAAAATTATCGTATTAAGTGATGTTGGGATTTTTTCATTATTGCTATTATTTTTGTGTACAGAAAGCACTTTCATGCTCAAGTATTTTTACGGATGTCCGAGAAGGCCCCTGTGGCCCTGGGCATCCATCGCTGATCAGTAGCTGCAGCACTACATTTAGCTCGTTGTCTTCTTCCCATCTTAATATTGTTTGTTTGTGTTTCCCCCAGCTGCTAACTTAGCCCAACGCCTCTGCTCTGGCTTTGCTGTCCTGGGCTCTCCCTGGGGACCATTCCCGTCTGCAGGACCCCAGGGCTTCTGCTCTCCTCCCTCGTCCAGCCGCCCCTTCCTCCATGGCCATCCTCCCAGCACCCCTTTTGGATCCCTTGCCCTCCCCTAGGACGGCCGCATTTTGGAAATGCAGACCTGTTTTCAAAAGGATTTGGGGTGCCCCGTTAGGATTTGCCCCTCTGCGGACAGACCCCCAGTGGCGGCTGTAGCCAGAGCACGAGGTTCACAAACAATCGTAAGCTGAAATTTGGAACGACCACCCCATTAAATGAATGCGAAGATCATATCAAATAATATTTGCATCTCCTGGGGCTGTTCGCTGGCGATATGTGGACAGGGGAATGGGCTGGATGTGGTGGGTAACTCGCTGTGAGCAGGCTGACCGTTTCTATCAGCAGGCGCCTCACCACTCTTCTCCTCTGCCCGCAGGTCACGCGATAGCCTCCGTGCGGCTCGGCGGCGGCTGACGGGCCTCGGCGCGGGTCCCGGTGCTCTGCAGGGCGGTGAGCGGCGGGACGTGGCCCGGCGGGTACCGGATCAGAGCATCCCCTGAGCCCCGGCTTCCCCGAGGCTGCAAGTATGGGACCCCAGCACAGCTGCCAGACTCCTGTCACGCCGGGGTCCCCTCCTCCCCCGTGGACGCACTCACTGACCAAGAAATGGGCTCATTTTCCCATCCTCTTAAATAAAATACTCCAGTCACATAAGAGCTGTTGACAACACAGAGACAGACAGACAGCGGTCCCCCCAAATGGGCTTTATTCTGAAATAGCTGAAATCATTGCTGTGAGTTGCCTTTTCCCATCCCCCGAGGTGTTGGATCAGGGGCGCCGTCAGGAATCGGGAGGACGGTGGCTGTGTGAAGCCTTCCCCCTTTTGGCTGGCGGCCCCTGGCCCCGGTGGGTCCCCTGGAGCGGCGCTGAGCTCCAGGCCTGACCTCGTGTCACCCGGGGGCCGGGGGCTGCTCCGTCCCCGGCAGCGATGTGCTTTCCCTGCCCTGTGACCTGGCTGCTGCCACCACGCGTGGCAGACGCGGCGGCGTGGCCGGGGGGCGTCTGACACCCCGTCAGTCCCCGGAGGTGGTGCGATGTCTCCATGGAGCATGCTGCTGGTTTCTCCTTCCTCAGCAATTGCATTAATCAGGCTGCGAGTTTAATATCTGTTCTCTGCCGTGCAAGTCCCAGGCACCAAGTTACTGCTTGTGTTTGCAGTGGAATTTCAGGAAACCCTTTTTGTCTGTGGTGAGGTGTGCCCGACACCATGCAGAACCCAGCCACCAGCCCAGACCCAGCCGGGCTTCATTGCATCAATTAAAAATAAGGAAAAATGTACCTTCTCCTGGCCCTGAGCTCGTGACCTTCCCCGGGACGCACCGTTTCCCCTGGTGTGGCAGCTCGAGGGGGAGAGCACGGGAGCCCCGTGCACCCCATGTCGGCGGGGCTGGGGGCGCCGGGGCGGCTGCGCTCGGCCCGAGCAAGAGCATCGCTGCGGGGAGCGGGGCCAACGCC